ACACCTGTTTTTGCCACGGTCGTTAAGCGAATCAATGCATTTGTTAAAAGTGAATACCTAATAATAATAATAACAACATCAATAGCAACCTAAATGGGGAACCTTCGATACTAGCCATTGCAATACAGGCCAGCAGAACAAATCCGGGGACGATGGGCTTTGTAGTCCCCAGCTTCGGGGTCGGGATATCGGTTTCCCGGGCCAAAGAAGAGAATGCAAATAGCGGACATCGTCCACGGAGAGCAGGGAGGCGGGCTTGCCACGGGGATGGGCTTTGTAGTCCCCCGTTTAGCAAACACGCATGCGCGAGTGACATAACCGTGACGTCACCCCTGAGCAAGTTCCAGCCTCAGGGCTTTCCCCTCAGGCCGGCCGAGCCTCCACATCCGCCTCCCGGCCCTCCGAGGCGGCTCCGGGCCCACCTTACCTTCCTGGCCGCCCCGGTGCGTTTCCGCAGCGCCTTCAGCCGCTCCCTCCGCCGCAGCGCTTCTTCCTGCAAGCCGCCGGCCTCGGACGCCATCTTCGGGCCTACTGCGCACGCGCGCCAAGGCAAGGCGCGTGCTGTCCGCGCCGAACGAGAGCAGAGTCGCCGATCGGTGGCGCCAGGGGTGGCCGGCCGAGCGCCGAGCGCATCGCTCGAGGTGTGAAAGTTTGCAGGGAGGAGAAGGAAAAAGTTCAGAATGGGACATCTGAGCATATGCAGAGTGCGGGAAGGCTGTAGAATGGGTGATGGAGAAGGACAGACTGGGGAACAGAGATTCAGCCTAATAATAATAATAATAATAATAATAATAATAATAATAATAATAATAATAATAATAATAATAATAATAATAGTAGTAGTAGTAGTAGTAAAGTTGGAAGGGACCTCGGAGGTCATCTAGTCCAACCCCCTGCTCAGGCAGGAAACCCTATACCATTTCGGACAAATGGCTGTCCAGTCTCTTCTTTAAAACTTCCAGTGTTGGAGCAGTCACAGCATCTAGAGGCAGGTTGTTCCACTGGTTAATTGTTCTGTCAGGAAATTTCTCCTTAGTTCTAGGTTGCTTCTCTCCTTGATTAGTTTCCATCCATTGCTTCTTGTCCTTTGGAGGCACTTTGGAGAATAGCTTGACTCCCTCTTCTTTGGGGCAGCCCCTGAGATATTGGAACACTGCTATCATGTCCCCCCCTCGTCCTTCTCTTCGTTAAACTAGACATACCCAATTCCAGCAACCGTTCCTTGTATGTTTTAGCTCCAGTCCCCTGATCGTCTTTGTTGCTCTTCTCTGTACTCTTTCTAGAGTCTTAATCTCTTTTTTTACATCGTGGTGACCAAAACTGGATGCAGTATTCCGAGTGTGGCCTTACCAAGGCCTTGTAAAGTGGTATTAATACTTCACGTGATCTTGATTCTATCCCTCTGTTAATGCAGCCTAGCACTGTGTTGGCCTTTTTGGCAGCTGCAGCACACGGCTGGCTCCTATTTAAGTGATTGTCCACTAGGACTCCGAGGTCCCTCTCACAGTTGTTACTATTGAGCAAGGTACCCCCTATACTATACCTGTGCATTTGGTTTTTCTTGCCTAAATGTAGAACCTTACTTTTTTGACCCTTGAATTTCATTTTGTTAGATAGCGCCCATGTTCAAGTCTGTCCAGATCCTTCTATATCTTAAGCCTGTCTTCTGGAGGTTTGGCTATAAGATACTGGCTGGGGGATTCTGGGAATTGAAGCCTACCCCTCTTAAAGCATTCTGGCTGGGGGATTCTGGGAGTCGAAATCCACCCATTTTAAAGCAGCCAAGACACTGCTCCAATTGTCTTACCAGGAGCAGATTAGGCTTGCCCCCTACTCCCAGTCATGCACAGCTAGTCCTTGACTTACAACAGTTTGTTTAGTGACCATTCAAAGTTCTAAAAAAAGTGACATGATCGTTTTTCACACGACCGTTGCAGCAGCTCCAGGGTCACATGATTAAAAGTTGGTGGCTTGGCAACTGGCTCAAATGTATGACAGTCGCAGTGTCCCGGGGTCATATGATCCCCTTTTGTGACCTTCTGACAAGCAAAGTCAATGGAAAAACCAGATTCAATTAACAACCGACTTACCCGCTTAACAACCATGACAAAAAAAGGTCAAAAATTGGATATGACTCATTTAACAACTGCCTCGCTTAACAACGGAAGTTCTTCTTTCAACTGTGTCCGTAAGATTAGAACTATCTGTTGTGAAATCCATGCTAAATCTTTGAACTGCGTTTAGTTCAAAGAAGCCACTTAACAACTGTGTTACTAACCTTACAACTGCAGTGATTCACTTAACAACTGCGGTAAGCAAGTTCGTAAAATGGGGGGAAACTCACTTAACAAGTGTCTTGCTTAGTGATGGAAATTTTGGGGTCAATTTTTGTGGAGGTACTGTATGTCGAGAAAACCCTGTATTTTTCTACATGACTTTCGTGATGTTTCCATTCCTTTCTACCCCCCCCCCCCTTCTTCTTCCAGCTTCCCCATCACAATCCTGCCAGGCTCTGAGAAATCGGGGTCCCTCTCCTCAAAAAATTGCTTTCGCACAACAGGCGGAACCCACAAGATGGAATTAATCAATGGAACAGCCAGAGTTGTGTGAGTGCTCAGTCGCTGGAGGTTTTCAAGAAAAGATTGGACTGCCATTTGACCAGGATGGTATAAGATCTGCTAGATCTTATACCATCCCGGGGGGTTGGACTACAGGACCTCCAAGGTCCCTTCCGCACCTAGGATTCCATCATTCACACAGTGACCTGTGTTATGCATTCATCTAGCCAGGAAAACAAAGGCACCTCAGCAGAGTGCTGTCCCTTGGAGAGGAAGGTCGTATGAACGGACAAAGTGGGGTCCTAACCCTAACCCTAAAAGATTAATGACTATTTTTGCCAGCCTGAAACTTTACATTATTTCCATAATGGGAGTCCCTGTCTTCCTACCCCAAATGTGCACCCACAGGTAGTTGCATTCACACAACAGGTGGATCCTGGAAGATGGATCCCTTCGCACAATGCTCTATGCCTTTCTGACTTGGGCTCTCCCAGCCAGTGAGGGGAAAAAAAGGCACCTGAGCAAATAGGAGCTTCTCTCGGAGAAGAGGGTCTTGTGAATGGACACACACGAACCCTGACCTCTAACCCTAACCCTCCAAAGTTTAATTCCAAGCATAAAACCCAGCCAGCTGTTGAGAAATTGGGGTCCTCTCCTCCTAGCCCAGGCCTGCACCCCTGAATAGTTGCATTCACACAACAGGTGGAACCCGGAAGATGTCTCCCTTTGCATAACGCCCTGCGCCTTTGTGTTGCATGTTCTCCCAGGCAAACAAAAGCATCTGTGTGCAGAGCAGCACCCCTCAGGTTGTGTGAACAGACAAAGTGGGGTCCAGGAGGTGGACTCCCTAACCCTTCAGTGACTGCATTTCCAAGCCTGAAATCCTGCCGGGTGCTGAGAAATTGGGGTCCCTCTCCCCCTAAAGCCAAACCTGCACCCCCTCATAGTTGCCTTCACACAACAAGTGGGACCCAGAAATGCATCCTTTCACACAATGCCCTGCATCCCTAACTCTAAAATGATTAGTGGTTGCATTTGCAAGTCTGAAACTTTACAGTATTAGGAGAGTTGCATTCACACAACAAGTGGAACCTGGAAGATGTATCCTTTCACACAACACCCTGTGCCCCTAACCCTTAAATAGTTAAAGACTGCATTTGCAAGTCTGAAACATTACAGTATGTCCATAATGGGGGGTGGTCTTTGTCCTTTTAGCCCAAACGTGCACCCCTGGAGACCTGCATTCACACAAGTGGAACCCGGAAGATTCGTCCTTTCACACAACATTTTAGCCCCCAGTCTAAACCTTAAAAATTCACATTACCAGTATTTCCATAATGGGCATTCCTTTCCTCCTAGTCTCCTAAGCGAAACCTGCACCCCTGGACAGTTGCATTCCCACAACAGGGGAAACCTGTAAAATGCATCCTTTCACACAATGCCCTGTGCCCCTAACCCTTAAATGGTGAAAGACTGCATTTGCAAATCTAAAACAGTATTTCCATAATGGGAGGGTTCTTTTTCCTCCTAGCCTAGCCCAAACCTGCACCTCCCCGAGAGCTGCATTCACACAACAGGTGGAACCCGGAAGATTCATCCTTCCACACAATACCTTATGCCCCTAACTCTAAACCTTAAAAACTCACCTTATCAATATTTCTATAATGGGGATCCCTTTCCTTCTAGTCTCCTAACCCAAACCTGCACACACACACACCCTGAGAGCTGCATTCACACAACAGGTGGAACCCGGAAGATTCATCCTTTCACACAATACCTTATGCCCCTAACTCTAAACCTTAAAAATTCACCTTATCAATATTTCCATAATGGGGATCCCTTTCCTTTTAGTCTCCTCCTAGCCCAAACCTGCACCCCCCCCAGCTGCATTCACACAACAGGTGGAAACCCGGAAGATTCATCCTTTCACACAATACCTTATGCCCCTAACTCTAAACCCTAAACATTCACCTTACCAATATTTCCATAATTTCCTCCTAGTCTACTAACTAACTAACTAGCCCAAACCCGCACCCCCGGATAATTGCATTCACGCAACAGGTGGAACCCGGAAGACGCCTCCTCCCAACGCCCCGCGCCTCGGCGTCACGCGCTCTCCCGGGGGGAAACAAAGGCACCTGCGCGCAAGGCAAGGTCCCTGGCGGAGGAGGGTCGTGTGAACGCGGGCGGAGCCGCGGGTCGGCCGTGGGGCGCACCTGCGCTCCGCCCGCTGCGCCTCCCCGGAGCCCGGGCCGGGCTGCGAATCAGGCGGCGGCGGAGGAGGAGCGAGGCGGGCAGCAGCGGCGGCGGCGGCTCCGGAGCGCAGCGCAGCCCAAAAGCAGCAGCCGAGGCATGGCGCAGGCAGGGCGGCCGGCCGCGCAGCCCGGCCGGGGTTAGAGCGCGCGATCGCGGCCGAGCCTTGCCGGGAGAGTCCGGCCCGCGATGGCTTCCAAGGAGCGGCTCTACGAGCTGTGGATGCTCTACTTCGCCAAGGTGAGCCCTGCCTCGCCTCACCTGCGCGGTGGGAAGGGGAGGGAGGGAGGGAGTTGGGCTGACACGCGGGGAGAGGGGGAAAGAGGGTCGTGGGAAGGGATCCCGGGGGTGGGTGGGGGGGAAGGCGCGTCTCTGAGCTTGCTTGCATCGGGAGGACTGGAGGGGGGTTGCCTTGCTTGGTGCTGGTTCTCTTCCTTCTTCTCTTCTTTCCTCTTCTCTTCCTCCTTCTCTTCCTCCGCCCCCCCCTCATCTCCTCCTCTTCCTCCTCCTTTTCCTCCTCTTCCTTCTCCTGTCTTCCTGTTCCTCTTCCTTCTCCTTCCTCCTCTTCCCCTTCCTCCTTTTGTTTCCTCCTCCTCCCACTCCTCTCCTCCTCCTCTTCCTCCTTCTCCACCCTTTCTTCTCTTCTGCCTCCTCTTCTTCCTCCTGCTCTTCCTACTCACCTCCTCTACCTCCTTCTCCTCTCCTTCCTTCTCTGCCCCCTCTTCCTTGTCCTCCTTCCCCTTCTTTTCTTCCCCTTCCCCTTCCTCCTCCTCCCCCTCACTTCTTCCTCTTCCTTTCTTCTTCTTCTCCTCCTCTGCCTCTTCTTCCTCCTTTTCTTCCTCCTCCTCCTCCTTCCCCTTCTCCTCTTCCCCTTTTCCTCCTCCTTCCCCCTCACCACCTCCTCTTCTTCTTTCTCCTTCCCCTTCTTCTTTCCCATCCTTCTCTTCTGCCTCCACTCCTCCTCTTCCTCCTCTTCCTCTTTCCTTCTTCCGCTCTTCCGTCCTCCTCCCTCTCCTCCTTATCTCCCCCCTTCTGGGAGTATCAGTTATCTATCTATTCTGGGGCGGGCAGGTGCTTCTTAGAACATGCCCAGCACACCTGTCCAGGTGAGATCAGCATCCTTTCCCACCTGCTCCCCAGTTCCTGCCCCAGCCTTGCTCCCTGGGGCCGATCTTGCCTCTCTCTCCCTGCCTGCCTGCCTTCTTCCCTCCCTCACCGAGTGGCCCCGAGCCACCCCTTCCTGTCAGGCTGGGGATGAGGGACATTGTAGTCCTTTCTGATTTTGCCCCTTCCCCTTCCCGGGACACAGGTGACTCTCTCTCTCTCTCTCTCTCTGTCTCTGTCTCTGTCTCTCTCTCTCTCTCTCTCTCTCTCTCTCTCTCTCTCTCTCTCTCTCTCCTTCTCACCAAGCTGTCTGTCTTTCCTCCACTCACCTAACATGGGGGGGGTGTCTCTCTTAACGTGACACTTCCCCCCTACACCAACAACAACCCTGTGAGGTAGGCTGGGCCTGCTCTGACTCACCCTTTCGCATTTTCAAAGGGGAGAGTGAATTGAAACCAGGGTCTCTCCATTCTGCTATGACACCCGTGTGTCCCTCTGTTCCCCCCCCCCATTCCCTTCTGGGGTCCTGGGATCCCCTGATCTCCTGCCTCCTCCCCCCCCTTGCTTTTTCCCTAGTCTAAAAAAACCCCTCCTTTTTGAAAATCTTCCCTTTCTTCTACACTTTAAACTCTTTTAATCTTCTCCTCCTTTGTGTGTTTCCCTCCCCTCCCAAATTCATTAGAAACCGCAGGCAGCTGTGGTCCCTGATAAACATCTAATAAATAATAAACAAACACAGATTGTGCCCCATGTGAGTCTCCAGACTTGAACTGATCAAAGCCTTTTCCTTGCTTTGTGGCCTGGACTCAATTCCCATTCTTCCCCAGGGTGGCTGGGGACGATGGGTTCTATCATCTTGTCCTTCCCTCTGCTCCTGCAAGGTCTTTCCCCCCCCCCCGCACAGCCCCCCAGAATTGGTTCAGAAAGTGAAAGGAGGAGGGTCCAAGCCCTCCCTATCACGGCAAGGGGAAGGGCCCAGAGGTTGGACTAGAGGACCTCTAGGGTCCCTTCCCGCCCTTTGATACTATGCTATTCTATTAAAGGGAACAAAATGTGTGGGGGCAAATATCCTGCCTCCATTCTGGGTCTGTTTCCCCCCCCCCACCCACTCCTTAAAAACCCTTTTTTTATTTCCCTCAGCCTCTGTTTTCTTTCCTGGACCAAAAAAATAAAAATAAAAATGAGCAAAGCACACAGAAGGAGGAATCGTGCATTGTGTTGATAATCACAGAATTATTGTGTCTTTTCACTTCCCACCTTGTCTTTTCCCGCACAAGGGTGCAGTTTGTTGGTTTCGTTGGGGGAGGGGGGAGGCTAGAAACTACTTTTTGCTGTAGGCCTAGGCCGAAAGCTTTTAAAAAGAGAGATGCTTTGTGGTAGGGAGGGGCGAGGGGAAAAAAAAATCATATATAATTGTTGGGGGTCTCATTCCGCTCCCCCATCTGGGTCTGTACCTGGTGGGGTTTTTGGGGTGGGGGTGGGGGAGAAGTGGTAAAAAATTAGCATTGTATGACGGGGGTTTCCCCCAAGAGCAAAGGAGACAGGAGTGCTTGACTGCACCCAGAAAACCTGTATAATATACTGATTTTTGATCTTGAATGTGTGCTCACTTCTGAACGAAATGGGGCGGTGTGTTTTTTTTCTTTCTTTCTTTTTATGATGACCTTCAACTCACTTCCGTGGTTTCAGGATATTTACAGTTTGTTTTGCAAATGAAAAGGAGCTGAGTACCTTTCTTCTCTTTTTCTCCCTCTCCCTCTCTCTCTCTTTCTTTCTCTCTCTCCCTCCCTTCCTTCTTTCCTTCTCTCTCTCTCTCTCTTTGTTCTTTCCTTCTTCCTCTTTCCCTCCACTTTTTTCTTTTTTTCTTTCTATCTCTGTCTTTCTCTCTGTTACTTTCTCTTTCTCTTTTCACTTCTTTTTCTCTCCTTTTTTTCTTTCTTTCTTTCTCCCTCTGTGCCCCATTCTCTTTCTCTCCTCTTTCTCTCACTTTCTTTTTTTTCTTTTTCTTATCTCCTTTTCTCTTTCTCTTTCTGTAGCTTCCTTCTCTTTCTTTCTTTCTTTCTTCCTTCTCTTTCTTTCTTTCTTTCTTTCTTTCCTTCCTTCCTTCCTTCCTTCCCTCTCTCTTCCTCTTTCTCTTTCTTTCTTTCTCCCTCTGTGCCCCATTCTCTTTCTCTCACTTTCTCTTTATTCTTTCTCTTATCTCCTTTTCTCTTTCTCTTTCTATAGCTTCCTTCTTTCTTTCTTCCTTCTTTCTTTCTTTCTTTCTTTCCTTCCTTCCTTCCCTCTCTCCTCCTCTTTCTCTTTCTTTCTCCTTCTGTGCCCCATTCTCTTTCTCTCCTCTTTCTCTCACTTTCTCTTTTTTCTTTCTCTTATCTCCTTTTCTCTTTCTCTTTCTGTAGCTTCCTTCTCTTTCTTTCTTCCTTCTCTTTCTTTCTTTCTTTCTTTCTTTCTTTCTTTCTTTCTTACTTTCCTTCCTTCCTTCCCTCCCTCTCTCCTTCTCTTTCTTTCTTTCTTTCTTTCTTTCTTCCTTTTTCTTTCTTTCTTTCTTTCCTTCTTTCTTTCTTCTCTTCCTCCTTCCTCTTCCTCTTTCTTTCTTTCTTTCTTTCTTCCTTTCTTTCTTTTTTCCCCTTTTTTCTTCTCTCTCTTCTCCCTCCCTCTCTCCCTGTCTCCCTTCTTCCTCCCCTCCCCCTTTCTCTCTCCAGGGATAAAGAGCTCGGTCAATTGTATTCTCTTTTTTCCCCTTTTCCTCCCTCCTGCAAAATCCTTTGAAGAGGAGGGGGTGACGCCTCCGCCAATGAATTTCCTAGCTCCTTTCCCCCCCACACCTCTGTATGGCAGCCTCTCCAATCCCCCCTCCCAATTCTTGTTTGAAAAAGGTTGCAAAAAGAGACAGAGGTTTAGCAGTGTTTGCTGGAGCCTTTTCCAAATGCACACCAGGTTGGTGGGTACAAAAAAAAAAATAAAGCACCGTAGCTTGGAGAAGAATTTGGAAATCTTGCAAAGTGCAGGTTGATTAAGGAGGGGAAAAAAGCTGTTTTTTTTAAATCAGCAGGATCTCCATTCGTGTTCAGTTGTCCCCAGTTTTGGGCAGTGTCTTCGTCTCAGCAGGCCTTCCTGGCACTGTTGCTCTCCTGAGGCTGTGGCTCATGGGGGTTGTAGTCCAAGGGGCTTCGAGGTTGCCAGGGCAAGGGAGGGTGACCAGAGATAAGGCCGAGGAATCTGTGGAAGGTGCAAACATGGCTGTAGTGAAGTGGGGGAGAGGGACAAAGGCTTTGATTGTTTTGGCTGGAGGTTGGTGGGAGGCAGGTATAAAGGCTGATTTGTTTAATTCCTTTTTATCTTATTTCTTTAATGCTCAAATTGGACAGCCTTCCCCTGTGACCCTTTGCCCAGCTCACTTGTGCATGAGTAATAACACCCTTGCATGATATAAGAATAATGAATAGGAATAATATTATGAGATTGTCTAGCCAGAGAAGTCTGTTTGAAAGAGGTAAATGCTAAAGAAAGGGGGGGGAGGAAGGAAGGAAGGAAGGGGGAGGGAGAGGGAGGGAGGGAGGGAAGGAAGAATGAAGGAAGGAAGGAAGGGAGAGAGGGAGGGAAAGAAGGAAGGAAGGAGGTAAAAGAAGGAAGAAAGAAAAAGAAAGAGGGAGGGAGGAAAGAAAGAAGGAAAGGAAAGAAGAAAGGTAGAAAGAAAAAGAAAGGAAGAAAGGAGAGGGAAAGGAAGGAAGGAAGAAAGGAAGGAAGGAAAAAAGGAAGGAAAGAAGGAAGGAAGGAGAGAAGGAGGAATATTGAAAGAGACGGAAGGAGAGAGGAAGAAGCAGGAAAAAAGAAAAAGAGGAAGAGAAAAGGGCAAGGAGGAAGAGAAAGTGAAGGAGGGAAGGAAGGGAGGAGAGAAAAAACGGAAGGAAGGAGAGGAGGGAAGGAACAAAAGAGAAAGAAGGAAGGCAGGAGCAAAAGAGAAAGAAGAAGAGGACAGGAGGGAGGGAGGGAAGGAGAAAAAGAAGCAAGGAAGGAGAAGGAGGAGGAAAAGACAGGGAAGAAAAGGAAGGAAGGAGGGAGGAGAGGGAAGTGAGAAAAAGACAAAAGGAAGAAAGGAAAGAAAAGGAAGAGAAAAAGAGAAGGAAGGAGAGAAG